ATTTGAAATCCACTGTAATCCACCTTGTTAACAGGCTTAATAAAACCACTCAACCACATCAATCAGTGTAGAAAAATAATTTGAAAAAATTCAACAGTAATTCATGATAAAAATTCTCAGAACTTCAGGAATGGAGAAAACTTTCTCAATTTGATAATGAACATCTACAAAGTCTAAAGATAACATCATACTTAATGGTGAAAAACTCGTTCATTTCACTTTAACGTTGGAAACCAGATAAGAATGCCTACCTTCATCACTGCCAAACAAATAGTACTTGAAATTCTATCCAGTGCAAAAAGGCATGAAAAATAAATAAAAGGCAAACTGGTCAGAAGGGAAGAAATACAGTTGTAGCTGTTTGCATATGACATGGTTATCTAGACAGAAAAACCCATAAAATTCATTTTTTAAAAACCCTCCTAGAACAAGTGAGTTCAGCAGCATTACAGGATATAAGATCAGCATGAAAATTAACTGTATTTCTGTAAGCTACAATAAACACATGGACACCTAGATTAAACATACAACACCATTTATAACTGTTCAAAAAAAGAACTATGTAGGTATAAATCTAGCAAAGCAAGTATAGGCTTATATGATGAAAGAAATTAAAGAAGATTTAAATAAACAGAGAGACATATCATGTTCATGGCTTGACAACACAGTAAAGATTTTAATTAACATACAGGGCAAAGGGAAATTTTCAAAATATTTTTAACTCGATGAAAATGAAAATACAGCTTACCAAAATGTGTGAAATGCAGTGAAAACAATTAGTTTAGGGGGAACAAATGATAATAGTTTAGGGGGAATGTTATAGCATTAAATGAATACATACACTAGAAAAGAAAGAAAATTTTAAATCCAGAATGTAAGCTTCCACCTTAGGAAACTAGAAAACAAAGAGAAAATTAAATCCAAAGGGCCTAAAGGAAAAGAAATAATAAAAATTAGAGTAGACCTTAATGAAATTAGAAACAGGAAATCAATAGTGAGAATCAACAAACCCAAATGCTGGTACTTTAACAAGATCGATAAAATTGATAAACATCTAACTAGGTTAACTAAGAAAAAAGAGAGGACACAAATGTCTAATATTAGAAATAAAAGGACCATCATTTCTGACCCCCTGGGTGGTAAAAAGATAATATTTAAATAATATTATGACTAACTCTATGCCCACAAATTTGAAAACCTGAAAGAAATGGATCAATTCTTTGAAAGACATAATTTTAGAAAAACTCACATAAAGAAAAATAGATGGTCTCAACAGGTCTGTGCCACAGCTTGAACGTTTCTGTGCCCCTAACATCTGCAGAACCACTGAAATCCAAGTGGTTGGTGTTAAGAGGCAGGGCCTTTGGGAGATGGTGAGGATGAGGCCTTGAGAACGGGATTAGTGCTTCTGTAAAAGGGCCCCAGAGCTCCTGAACCCGTTCCTCCGTGTGAGGACACGGCAAGAAGGCAGCCGTCTGCACCAGGAGAGGATCCTGAAGAGCGCCCGCGCTGGCAGCCTGATCTCAGACTTCCCGCCGCCAGAACCGGGGGAAATAAAGGTTTGTTGCTCATAAGGCACCTGGTCTGTGGCATTTTATTGTAGCAACCTGAGCAGACTAAGATGACCTGTATCTATCAAAAAATAAAATCGATAAATTAATAGCCCCCCAAAACAGACAGCAACCAGCCCAGGTGGGTTCACTCGTAAAATCTACCCAGCGTTTAAGAAAGGCATTAAACTAGATACAGAAGACAAATTCGTGATTACCGGGGGAGAGGGAAGTGGGGAGAGGAGTGGTGAGGGTAGGGGACCAAGAGGCACAAACTACTGTGGATAAGCTGGATAAGCAAGTACTGGGCCAGGATAGGGATGCATCGCGCACACAGGGGAATATGGCATCATATGATAGTAAGTTTCAACGGTGCATAACCCGTAAAAGTGCTGAGACACTATGCTGCGTACCTGAAACTAACAAAATATTTCATTTAAAAAAGAGACAAATAAAACTAATTCTCTATACTCTCTTCCAGAAAACCGAGGAAAACAGCATGTTTCCTAACTCATTCTGTGAGGCCAGTCTTACCCAAATTCCAAAATCAGACAGACATGAAAAGAAAGAACCACAGACAAATATCTCTTTTGATAGATGTGAAAATTCTCAACAAAACACAGGCAAATTTAATTCAATAATATATACAAATTAACAACCAAGGAGGACTTACTATAGGTATGCAAGACTGATTCAGCACTGAAAATCAATTAGCATAACCTATCAAGTCAAAAGGCTAAAGAAGAAAAAAATCATATCTATTGATCATATCAATAGATAAACAAAAAATATTTAACAAAATTCAGCAAAATTTTAAAAATCCTAGCCGACAGGATAGAGCAGATGTTTTAATAGATGTTCTACCTCAACTTGATAAAGAACATCTATTAAAAACCTGACATCAGAGTTAATAGTGAGAAACTAGAGGTTTTTCTGATAAGAACAGAAACAAGGCAAGGATATTTGCTTTCATCGTGCCTATTCAACATGAGGTTGGAAATTCTAGCTATTACAAAAAGACAAAAAAGGGACTAAAGATACAGATTGAGAGGGGGAAATGGAACTACTTTTGTTTGAAGATGACACAGTTATCTGTATAGAAATCCACCCCTCAAATCAAAATCAAACCCCAAACCTCCTGAAACTAGTAAGCAATTATAACAAGACAGAGAATAAAGGGTAATATACAAAAGTCAGTTGCTTTCTCATACTTCAGCAATGAAAATTTTGAGTTTGAAGTTAAGAACACAATACCATGTACACTAACACCAAACTAGAGTGGCAAAGTGAGAGAGGGAGGGAGAAATACTTAGACAAAAATCTAACAAAATATGGATAAGATCTATATGGTGGTGGTTTAGTTGCAAAGTTGTGCCTAACTCTTGCAAACCCATGGACTGTAGCCTGCCAGGCTCCTCTGTCCGTGGGATTCTCCAGGCAAGAATACTGGAGTGGGTTGCCATTTCCTTCTCCAGGAGAACTTCCTGATCCAGGAATTGAACCTGCGTCTCCTGCATCGATTCTTTACCAAGTGAGTTACAAGGAAAGCCTCAAGATATACATGAGGAAAACTATAAAACTCTGATGAAAGAATTTATCAGAATAAATGGGAAAATATTTTATGTACATGGGTAGGAAGACTCAACACTGTCAAGATGTCAGCACTTTGTAATTTGATCTATAAATTCAATGCAGTCTCATTCAAATTCTAGCCAATTCTATTATGGCTATTGACAGACCACACCCAAAGTTTATAGAGAGAAGCAAAAGAAGGCAAAACACACAACACAATATTGAAGGAGAAAAAAAAAGTCAGAGGACTGACACTACCCAACTTCAAGCCTTAGTAAAAGCTACGGTAATCAGGACAGTGTTGTACTGGGGAAGAATAAACAGACAGATCAATGGAGCAAAACAGAAAACCCAAAAATCGACATACACAAATATGGTCACCTGATCTTTGACAAAAGGAGCAAAGGCAATTTAATGGGAAAAGAAGAGTCTTTTCAACGAACGGTGCTGGGACAAACATTCACACGCAAGGAGTGGATTTGGATAGGCTTACACCATCTACAAAAACCAGTTCAAAATGAACCGTAGATATAAATGTAAAATGCAAAACTATAAAACTCCTAGAATCTAACGCAGGAGAAAATCTGGAACATACTGGGTGTGCAGATGAGTGTTTAGGTGTTACTGACATAGTCCACGAAAAAAAATTAATGAGATGAACTTCATTAAAAATAAAAACTTCTTCTTTGTGGATACTTACTAAGAATGAAACAACATGTCACCAACTTGGAGAAAACATTGGCAAAGCATACCTCTTGATAAAGGACCGGTGTCCAACAATATCCAACATATGAAAGAGATCTTCAAACTCAACAACCTGACACTTGTTGATGTTTCTACAATTATTTGTTTATGCTCCTTCTTCCCTTGGAAAATCCTTGAATCAAGATCAAATTCGTATAAAATCACGCCTTCCGTCTACATGTTAGTTATTCAACAAATGGTGGTAAATTTGAATTGATCAAAACAGTTTTTGGATAAAAAAGCTCATCTCAAAGAGTAACTCTTAGAAAGTAATGGAAGTTATAAACATGTGACACATAGAGTCTGTTGAACCTAGCTTGCTCTGTGACTCGGAAGTACCCAGATATGGATGAGTGCCCAGGGGCATGGAATCCTGGGTGCACAGCAGAATCTGGAAGCTGCTGGGAAGCGATTCCAATATCTGGCATCGTCCCCAGAGAGGCTGGAGCAGGGCCTGGGCACCAGCATTCTTCTTAGCTCCCCAGGTGACTCCGAAGTGCAGCCAGATGACCCCACAGGGCTAGTGCCACAGTCACACCCGACAGCCCGGCGCAGACTTGAGATGACACCATGAGCACATCAGGCAGGCGAGCTCCCAGGCTCCAGTTGTAACAGCCGCTGTTTCTCCCCAACTGGAGAATGCCCAGCCGTGTACAGCAAACTAGCTGATGTTTGGATAGTTAGATATTTTAATTATATCCTATTTAATTGTATTTTAAATTAATCACTGCTGGCTTGCAACACATCTCTCACAAACGATGCATCTTAGTATCTACTGAGGACACCCCTTTGGGTGGAAAGTGTACTTTATTTTTAATTCAGCTAACTCTGATGTCTGTCACGCATCTACCATGTCAAGGGCGCACCCTATGGTGTCATTTTTAACAGGAAGTAGAAGCAAGATCTTTTGGTTTAGCAGTATGCCCCCAGGCTGGGTACTCTGTGTTTCTGAGATTCACACAAGGGGAAGGGGAAATCACTGGAGTTTTGCTCCAGCCGCCCTGAAGGAGAGACTCACTGACCAGCATCTTGCCTGGCCCGTGACTACCGGCAGCCAGGAAATGATGATGTCACCACAGGCCCAACCCACTGCCCCAGCAGGGTGCAGACACTCCTGTGGGGCCGGGGACTTACGAAGAAAGGAATCAGGCCGGCTGCCTTGTCTCTCTCCAGGGCCTCCTGCAGGGCAGAAGCTTGCATGGCGAACTTGTCGTCGGAAGGGATGGCTTTTAATCTCACTCCACCAATTAAGCCGGCTCTTTCCACGGAGGAGTGTGCCTGCAAGAAAGCCCCAGGTTAGACTCTGAGCAGCCTCCAGCGCTTCTGCAGGGCTCCTGGGCGCCCCCACCTCCCTGCACCACCTCCAGACCAGGAGCTGTTTCAGGTCCTGAGGACTCCACTTCCCAGTTGAATGATTCCGACTCTTAGAGGGCAGAGTGCTGGGCTGTGCCTGCGGGTGAGGGTGTGCGCCTGCTCAGTTGTGTCCGACTTTGTGACCCCACGGACTGTAGCCCGCCAGGCTCCTCTGTCCATGGGATTTCCCAGGCAAGGATGCTGGAGTGGGTTGCCATCTCCTCTTCCAGGGGATCTTCCCAACCCAGGAATTGAACCCCCATCTCCTGTGTCTCCTGCATTGCAGGCAGATTCTTTCTGTGCTGCGCCATCAGGGCGGTCTTATACGGAGCTGTATTAAGGGCTTTTTCATCCCCTGGTTTGAATTCGACAGAAGCAGTGGATGCTCATTTGGAAGCACAGTCGGGAAAATGACACCTAGTAATGTCACCTGATGATATTACTCTAGAAGGTTCTTAGTAAGCCCCTAGTCCCACTCTTATCATCTGAGGCTCTAAAATTGCATGCGAAATATATGACGATGCTCAGAAGTAGCTCTCCTTGTGGTTTGTGTCCTCTTTACCCTCAGACGAGGAGCAAGGTGATAGGGTTATATATTTACAACCAGCACCTTGACCCCGTGCTCCTGGGGCTAATGCTCATCTGAAATGTAGATTCCACTACAGCTCCTGGAGCTGATGGGAGGTGACTATCCCAGAGGGCACATCCTTGTTCATTCCTTCCCTGTGTATCTGGCTTCCCTAACTCCTACAAGCTTCCCCAAAGAGCATCCCCTAATAAATGGTGAACCCCTAAAGCCCCACATCAGACCCTGCTCCTTGGAAACCTGAACGCAAAGCCACAGAATTGTGCCTTAGAGCCCATGGCTGTCCACTCGATGTAATGAACCCACCTGACTCCTGTCATCTAGGATAGTACTACCTCACAGCCTCCTTGGGAGAGTCTAGAGAACACCATGGATCACTTTTCTAGGGTGAAATTCCCTCATGAAAACCCTGCTGGTAAAGGCTACCACCTAACATTCATAGCAACTTATCTCAACATAGATACCTAGAGACCTACACGTGCATTTTTAAGAGTTTTCTCATGTCTGTCTGGGAAGCAAGGGAGAAATAAACAGAAGTGAATCGTTTTCTTCCTCTGTGGGCAGCTCTAGCGCCTGGAGTCAGAGTACACACACAGAGATGATCCTCCTGACAAAGCATCAAAGTATGGGCACTGCGCTGATTCCAAAGCTGTCACAGTTGAAATGCCCTCATTAAGAAATTCATTAAAAATACTACATCAGTGATATAGAGAACAAACTTTTGGACATCAAGGGGGATAAAGTGGGAGACTGGCACTGAAATATACACACAACTGTGTATGAAATAGATAACTGATGAGAATATACTGTACAGTACGGGGGGGGGGGGGAAGAAGGTACAATCTATTTATAGGATGTGTATTAAGTTAACCTTAAAAATACATTCCAAAATACAGTCTGAGCAGGCAAAAACGGTTTGATTCCATTTGCATGAGGTACCTAGAACAGTCAGCTTTATAGAGTCAGAAAGTATGTAGATGCCAGGGGCTGGGGTACGGAGGGGAGGGGCGGGGTAGTGGGGACTTAGTGTTTGATGGTCAGAGTTTCAGTTCAGGAAGGTGAAAAATCTGGGAGACGGATGATGGTGAAAGTTGCACAACAGCGTATGTAGTTAGTGCCACTGAACTGCATAGTGTGTGTGCTAATCACTCTGTCGGGTCCAACTCTTCGTGACCTGATGGGCTGTGGCCCGCCAGACTCCACTCTCCATGGAATTCTCCAGGCAAGAACACTGGAGTGGGTAGCCATTCCCTTCTCTGGGGATCTTCCTGACCCAGGCATAGAACCTGGATCTCCCACATTGCATGCAGATTCTTTACCATCTGAGCCACCAGGGGAGCCTGAACTGTACAGTTAAATATGGTTAAAGTAGCACGTTTTATATTATGTGACTTTTGCCACAATAAAAAAGTTTAATGTGGGCAAAGCTAAATCAGCTATTCCTTGTGGAACCAAAGCCTCTGGTGGTACCATTTTGGTGCCCTCTTGACTCTTGGTTCACTCATGGGGCTACTGCTCAACGTTTTCCTTCTGTTCTCTCTCACACAATTGCCTTTAACCTTTTTCAAGAAGGCTGACCACTGGAATTGATCATGGACTAGATGCCCCCACTGGCAGAGAACTCCAGACCTTACAAAGCACCACTTCATCCCTCATCTTAGTGCAATACTAGCTGACAGAGCTGCAACAGCAGGTGGCAGGCCCTTTTGACCCTGTTTGATGGTTTGAAAAAGGCTTCGAGAACTGACGTGATTGGTCTGAGATCACAGAACGTAAAATCACAGGGCTGGGACGTGAGCCCGGGTCTTTGAGCCCTGAGCCCCACATGCAGCTCCAGTATGCCGCGCTGAAGGCAGCCAGATGGCCTGAACACGAGCTGGGACAGGTGGGGTCGGGGTGATCTTACAGCATGTTTACTCTCTTTTCAGCCTGATCTGCTAAGTTCCCACCTGCAGCCTACATCTTTTCTTTAGCACTGGTCTCTAGCTTAGTGACACCTGGGGGACTGTTCTTGGATCGGAAAGGATACTGCACAGGCTGTTGTTTTTCTTTTTTAATTTTTGGACACCCCCTGAGGCATATGGGATGTTAGATCCCTGACCAGGGGCAGAACCCACACCCCTGCAATGGGAGACAGAGTCTTAACCTCTGGACCACCAGGAAGTCCTTGGTGTGGTTTTGACTTGACACCACACAAACCATTCCACCCCAGGAGGCTCAAGGAGGCTCTGGGCACCACACTCACCTGATCAGACGCGTAGGCCACCAACTTCTCCATGATGGCAGCCTGTGTCAGCTCCGGGGAGGCAGCCTGAAGGCGTCGGGTCACTTTGGTCCGAGCGGCCAGCAGGGCCACCAGGGTAGCTTCACTGGCAGTTCCCTAAATCAAAGAAAAGGCCAACAGGACCTTCCAATTGCAGCCAGGGAGTCATCTCTAAATGTGAGAGATGTGACATGGGATCTTCCTATTTTCTTAGAAGATGCATATGAAATTGTCAAGTCCATTGTCCCATGCATGGGAAAAAGGCTGTACACCTGTGACCAACACTTCAGCTCTTATTACCAATTCAGCATTGCTTTGCCTGCTTCATGAAACACCCACCAGTACTTACTGGCGCTTCCTAGGCATCACTGCTGCCAGCCTTGGCAGACACGTTCCCATGGACACTTCCCAGTCTGGACAGAAGGTACTGGTCCATTTCCCCCAGAGGAGGAAATGGGACCTGGGTCACAGCTCCCAGCACAGCTTCATACACACAGCAACTTGGACAGACACATTTGTCTGTTTTTACAAAGGGTCGCCTCTTCTTTGAGACCCGGAAATTGCCCTGGAGGGTTTTCCCCAGTCACTAATGTTACAGACTGAATTCCCCTCTCCCAGATTTCATATAGGAGCCCTAACTCCCAATTTCTCAGGATGTGACCACATATGGAGACAAAATCTTTGAAGGGATCACAAAGTCAAAATGAGCCTCTTAGAGGGGCCCATGGTCCAGCCTGGCTGGTGTCCTCATAGAACGAGGAGCTGAGCACACGTGCCCGTACACATACATGCACACACACACACACACACACATGCGCAGAGGTGAGGCCAAGTGAGCATACAGGGAGGAGATGGTTACCTGCAAGCTGAGGGCAGAGGCCTTGGGGATATCAGCCCCAACGCCACCTTGACCTCAGATGTCCCCGCTCTGGACAATGAGACAATCCTGTCTGCTGCCTAGGTTGTCTGGTCTCTGCTTCTTCCTTGTGGCAGGCTTATCAAGCTAACACAATGAATGTCAACAACTTATTTTGGCAAAGGAATCAGGATGCAAAATTCCCTTCTCTGAGGGTGGGTGGTGGTGAAAGAGAACATAAATTCAGCACCCACTCTGTCAGCCCATCTAAGTTGCAAACTAAGCTCATTTTTAATTGTATCATCTTTGGTTGGGAAACCTATGTTCAGAGAGTTTAGGTAACTTGCCCCAAATTAACAGTAAGTGAGCAGTGTGTTTAGGAGCAAACCCACATCTGTCTGCAGGGACCACTCCCCTTGGGATCACGGATCCTTATGTAAGTCCTGGAAGAGACCATAAGCTGAATACCATTACCGTTAGAAAGAAAAAGTGTAAAACGTAGAGATTTTTTGACTGTGAGAAAGAAATTTATAAAATAAAAACACTCATAATTCTGTAGAGCTGTGCAGCTCTAATGTATAAATTCATATATACACATCTGTAATCTTAATTTCAAGGAAACACACTGGTCATAGCAAACACCCTCTTCCAACAACACAAGAGATTACTCTACACATGGACATCACCAGATGGTCAATACCAAAAGCTGATTATATTCTTTTCAGCCAAAGAAGGAGAAGCTCTATACAGTCAGCAAAAACAAGACCGAGAGCTGATTGTGGCTCAGATCATGAACTCCTTATTGCCAAATTCAGACTGAAATTGAAGCAAGTAGGGAAACCCACGGCCTCCTTCATACACACTGACATGGAAGCTCATTGAAAGGCATGGGCCCAGGGATGCGTGTCCTTGTCTTCCCGACACTCCTGCGGGCGTGCAGCTCGCTCTCAGCACCACCCTCTGTCTGAGGCCCGGAACTCCCACTACCCCCCAGCACCCATGCTGCTCTGAACCACATTCTAAAGCTTCAATCACCACAGCAGTTCACAATGGGTTTTCCTCTAGGTGCTGTCCATGCCTTGAAAGAAAACCCCCTTCCTTGGGCAACAAAAAGCGATTCTTTCAAAAATATGCCCAATGAAAAAACTGTCAGCCAAGCATCCCTAAGTGCAATGGCTGGAGGAGGCATGGCTTCATTGTAAGAAATCTGTTTCTCTTTCTTTAACCTTTGCTTCTGGTTGCTTTTTTCACTAAAAGGATATTGTGTATGCATAATGACCTGCCCTAGGGAACCCTGCCCTCCTGCGTGAGTGTTAAAGCAAAGTGCCTTTGTTCAGACCCTGTCCACCTGTGGATGGGGGTGCTCAGTTACTCATTTGTGTCCAGCTGTTCACGACCCCATGGACCGTGGCCCATCAGGCTCCTCTGTCCATGGGATTCTCCAGGCAAGAATACTAGAGTGGGTTGCCATTTCCTTCTCCAGGGGAATCTTCCCAACCCAGGGATCAAACCAGTGACTCCTGCATCTCCTGAATTGGCAGGCAGATTCTTTTACCACTGAACCACCTGGGAAGGAAGAAATTAATACATCCCCTGCCTGAGGCTTGCCATTCTAGGAGGTAATTGCAAGATTGTTTTGTTTTGTTTCACTTTGCTTCCTCAACTCCTCTCCCTTTCTTGGCATCCAGACCCCCAACAAGAAGGCTGAGACATTACTCTTCAATCTTCTTGGCCAGCCAGCTTTACCAATACATATTCCTTGCCTCAACACCACACCTCTCAGTTAATTGGCCCGTAGTGCAGCAAGCAGAGTGGTTTGGACTGGGTAACAGCTTGGCGACAGGGGCAGCGGGACAAGTGGGCCTCTGGCCTCCGCTGGAAGCAGGTTTGAGCCAAGGAAGGGACAGGGTGCCTGCTCTTGCACAGAGAGCAGTAATGATACCTCTGTCTTCCTGCTGCAGACAAAGGTTGCCATGGTGAGGCTGCGGCAGGGGAGAAAGAACTACGATGAGCATTGCTACTGGCTGCCGATGCTGGAGCAGGAACATCCTTTCATTTTCTTGGTTTTCAAGTGTCACCCCACACACAGCACGAAATTGGCTTTTCTTCCACAAGCGCTTTCAGGCCCAATTAAGAGACTATTTCCATGGCCCTGTTTGTCCAGCTCAAAGGATGATTTGCCATTTGACACAGACACCCATCACAGGACCGACGCCTGGCAGCTGTGATTATGGCTCTGAGGGGCCAGCATCCCCCGCATCCAAGGGCTCCCCGCCTGTCACCAGGCTCAGGCACTCCAGGCCCTTGCAAATTAGAGACAATCAGCCTTGTCAGAGGGAAGGGTGGGCTTCCTGCATCAAACACAGACACGATTGACTGCTTTCCTTGAGCAAACTTGGTGGACAGGGCTCCAAGGCAGGGTATATTGAGTCCTGGGCTGAGAGATGTCAGAATTAGTCCCAAACAAATGCCTGGTCTTCTGCTGTTTCTGGAAAATGGAAATGTCTTTAAAGGAAAAGGTAATTTAAAGATGAAGCCCATGGCAGCATGCCCATCTCTGGACATTCACACCCCAGCCGAGGGCGAGGGACAGGCTAGTGGAACACCCTGGTCTCCAGGTGACATGAGCCCCAGCTTCGCCTCAAATTAGCTCAAGCCCTAGGGCCCCATGCACTATGTTTCTGGGCCTTGGATTGTTGATAACCCAATCCTCATAAATATTTGGAGGTTGAGAAATGAACACAGAAAACAGAAGAAATAAAGCTAAAACACAGCCTAACTCAGAGTGGGTGTTCAATAAAAAGTTGCTATTATTATGATACACTCGCCTTGGATGATGAGGTATCTGTAAGATTTTTAATAGTATCAAACAAGAGAAATCAGCTCGGGCTACTGACAAGAATTAAACATGAAACTGTTTTAGTCATGATCTCCAGTGACCCAGAAAACCTCTTTTTTAAAATTTTCGTTTGTTTTTGATTTTTGGTGGAGCTGGAGCATTCATGGTGAATATGGACTCAACCAGGTGAGCCTCAGTAGAGAGCTGGGGATCCTCTTAGGAGATTTTTGACCTTCATCCTACAGGGCATCCTTTGAGATATGATTTATGAGTGAAAGATGTGATGCTATATATATTTATATACATATTCTGTTTAAATTGTGACACCATAGAAAGTCATGCAAACAGAAGGAGATCGTACATGTCAAACATACCATACTTAATTTTAAAAAAAGAGAAAATCATGCAATAATAATATTCTCAAAGACTAAACAATAGGAGGACTTCCCTGGTGGTCCACCTGCCATCAGGGGCCACGGGTTCAATCCCTGGTCTGGAAGGACTCCACATGCAGGGCAATTGAGCCTGTTTGCCTCAACTGCTAAGCCTGCTCCCTAAAAGCCCAGGCTCCGCAACAAGAGAAGCCACCGCAATGAGCCTTCGCACCGCAACTAGAGAGGAGGCCCTGCTCGCCGCAGCCCGTGGGCAACAAGGAAGATCAGGCACCGCCAGAACTGTTTACAGATAAAATAAATAAACGCTGGGAAAAGCCCACAACAAAGTGGTAAGTCAAACACCACACAGGAAATACCTGACGTGTTGTACTATCCCAATCTTGTTTATATTGTGTATGTATGTATGTACACACACACACAGACACAGATTTTGAAATAACACTGGGAGGAAGCTGCCCCAAGGTGTTTCTGCATCTCTTCCATTTATCTAACGGATGTCTAGTTTTCATTAGTGGAAAGGAGATGATCCTTTTAAGTTGAATAGCAGAGCCAAACTGACACTGACGGTGATCAATCAACAGTATGAAAAATGGAGATAGCGATATAAAGAAAACCATGAGCAATTCCCCCAAAATACAGAGGAGAAAATGACAAAAAAAAGGCGGCGGGGGGGAATGCCAAATAAAAGTGGAAAATTATGGAAGAGTTACCCAAACTGTGGAAAGCTAAAGTTCTTCAAAAACAGCATAAGGGACCCAGAGACAATGACTAAATTATAGTGGGAGGAGAATGTCCCTGGGTGAGGGAAGAGCTGAGTCTCAGATTAACTAAGCTTCCCAGATGCTGGGACATGGGGTCAAAATGAATAACACAAATGGAAAAAGTGTATCTTGACAAAAACTGTGGAATCAGAAAGAAAAAGTAAGTCTACCACAAGGGTCCATCTTGTCATGAAGTGTCCGATCACCTGCAGGGCTGGAATTCAGAGGAACAGAACTCACCACCAAGGTCCCCACGGCAGCCTGCCTCTCTCTGGCCCTGCTTTTTGCTTGCAGTGGAGCCCCTGAGAGTTAGGGAGCTGAAAGCCACCCGACCCCCAGCAAGGGGGGGTGCAGCTGAAGGGGCATGGACTGGGGCTGTGGGTAGCAGCCCCTCCCCCAGGCTGGAAGCGGCTCCGAGCTCAGACCTTCGTGTGTGGTTTTTCCCAGGTTGCCCCGGGCAGCATTACCCTGACCGACAGAAAACTGTCCGAGGTGGCCGAAATGTCTGCCACTGGGAAGAGTCACTGTTGCCGCCGTGTCTAAGTCCCGTTCGCGGCACCGTATGGAAGCTCTGCTTACGCGGAGTGAAGGGCTCATTTCCATCAGCCGCCACTCAGAAGGGCTGCTGCAGGAGGGAACGTGCTATACGCGAGAGGTGAGGCAGGAGGGGGCGAGGGAGTGTGGTTGAGCTTGGCCAGGCTGGGCAGGAGACAGATGGTTTTATGTAGAGTGACCCAGCAATTCTCTCATCAGTCCTGCTAATAAATGGTTTGGTGACATTCTCAACCATAATCCTGTCACAAGAGCATCTGTGACTGATTGTCCCATCCTGACCCTGAGCCAGGATATGCTTTATCTCCACATTGGCAGAAACCACAGGGCCCCAGTTGAACTGTCAGAAGGAGAATTCTCCTCTGGCTTTAGCGGGGCATGCAGCAGGTCCGTTCGTCCTGTTTTTCCCTAGCAGAATCTGCCAATATCATCACTGCAAACATTTTCATGACCATCCTAATCTTGGGAGCATTCCATAATCCCAACCTGCCAGAATGATGCACAGTCAACTTCATTATCAAAACTCTTGTCCTGGCCATCTCCTTTTTATGAATATGAGCATCACAGCCAGGAGTCCAATATAATCAGCCTATATCATATCTCTTATGAAAAAAAAAACTGTCTGCCACTAGCACCAGCCCTGTGAATATGCCATGTCTCACTGCCCGTCATCACATCAGCCATCCCATTGCAACCATCAGAAAGAGATCTGGCGAAAGAGTTACTTTGAGAGAATAAGCAGGCCATAGGTCACAGAAAAGTCAGCCCTGGGTCATGCCACAAGGCTTGTTTATCGAAGAGTATTTCAACATCTCCGGATGTGATGACATGAATGCAGCATCAGGATGACCTGACCTGCAGGTTAGAATGCTTATTCCTGGGCCCACCTAAGACTTGTTGACCCAAATCTGTGAGGGTAGAAGTGAGACTCCCTCTGTAGGTCCCTCCCTCCGTGACGCTGACCCATCCTGGTTTTGTTTGGGAGAATAAAAGATGTCACGCTTTCATCCTGGAAGCTGAGAATCCCCACTGTATTTGGAAGAGGGACCCTGCTAGTGTGATTAAGTTAAGAACCTTGACAGGAGGGGAAGGGGGTTATCGTGGATTATCTGGATGGACTCTATCTAATCTTGTGGGTCCTAAAAAGTGAAGAAGCTTTCTCATCTGTGGTCAGAGGAGAGGTGACCTGAAAGAAGGGTGAGAGAGATGGGACACAGCCTCTTTGCAGACAGATGAGGTGCCATGGCATAGGAATGTGGGGAACCCCTAGGAACTAGAAGAGGCAAGGACAGAGTCTTGCTTAGGACTTATAAGGGGTCAGCCCTGATTTTAGCTGTGAGAGCCTCAGGCTCCCACCAGAAAGAACTGTAAAATAATAGGGTTAGTCAGCAGATTAGCACACTAGCATTTAAAAACCTCGCTCAGTCGAGCAGTCTCGAGCCTGGAGACGGGGGCTTGCCCCCCCCATCTCCTCCAGCCATGCCAGCAAGTGACCTCACACTGAGGCATCTGGGCCTCAGTTCGCATCAGCAGAGTGGACACAAACACAGCTGCTGTGACGGATTCTCAGAACCTTTGAGAAGATGATATCTGAAAAAGGAAATTCTTCTTTTCCCCAAAGTAGAGGGTGCATTCCCTGTGAGGGCGGTGGGTTGATTGGTGTCCCTCTTCGCTTCTAGGAGAGAAAACAGCCAAGCACTCCTAGATTCCTTAGCGGCATTTGTGCCATAGATGCTCCGCTGTGCCTGTCATCATGTGTCCTGTCCCCTGGAGCACCATCCGGCACGTAGACACTCTCAAAGGGATGTGTTAGACGAAGAATAAATTTAATTATCACATAGCAAAGGCAGCATCTTCAGGTGAATGGCGGGCTCCCGTGGGTGCAGCTCTTTCTAGAAGGCACTGTAGCACTGGGTCACAGCTGCCACTGCGGACAGCCCTGCGTGGTGGTCAGATTGTGGCTCTGTGGTCAGATGGGTGTGGACTCAGACCCTAGCTCTAGAACTTACCCACTGGGAATTGATGGGCAAGCTACCTGACTGCTCTGAGCCCTAGTTTCCTCGCCTGTAAAACAGGGGTTGAGAAATGGTCCCTAAGCAGACTGCTGTTGTGAAAATTAAGTTTGGGCCTGGGAAGCACTCTGGTACGTGGGCAAGCAATAGGGACCCACACACGTCTCCGCTGTTGTGTTTACGTCTATGCACCAGCCAAGCGACAGCTGCCATGCTGCCCACGTTAACAGGGGCCTGGGAGTGAGAGACGGCTGGGGAGCCAAACCAGATGCAGAGCTTTCCTAGGGCTCTGCTCTGTTCATTCTCCAAAAGAAACATGAAGACCCAAGACGCTTGCGGGCCTCTTGCCCACCTGCATCCCAGAATCCGGACCCCACCCTCTCCACCTTACCTGGATCACCCCGCCCCCTTCTCCAGCTTCTCCAGCCAGAAATGCCTCGGGCAGCTGCAGCATCTTCCCCAGCCAGTCCATCATCACCGTCTCTAGCTCCGTGCACGCCGGGCTGGCAGCCTGTGGGCAGGAGGAAAAGATGAATCACAGGTGGCTGCCCTCAGCTTCCTGCCAGCTTGGGATTCAGGGGTATGACAAGCATCTTCCTTACTGCCCTTGATCAATTTAGCAAAAGGTTTTGAACATTTTCAAGAGGCCCATCCCTGGATGGTGGGCTTGCACATGGTGGAGTTTCTGCAGAAGCAGCTGGACCCCTCCCCCCAGCAGCCCCAAGTCATCAGCAAGGGCCACTGGCAGGGCTTGGTGCTGAGAGCTGGCACCCATAACCTTCCGCTTCCGTCTGGCCCCTGGAGAACCATGAAGGGGCCATGCTCCCTGGGGCCCAGGTTGGCTGCTGGAAGTCCATGTTCTCTGCACGGGGTTTGCAAGTCTCTACCTGCCTCACCCAAAGGTTCAGGTCCTAGCATCATTACCTCTGCCCTCCGTGGCTTCTCCATCATAAACCTTTAGGGGCTGGTGCCAGAACAAGGGCCTAGATCTGGCTGAATTTCAGGAGCAACAGCAGGCTTTATCCATTCACTGACCTCTAGATTAAAATTGCCTGATCCCAGGTGCTATTCAAACATCTCTCAGTTTCAAACATGGTCTCCAGCCATGACTTGGGAGGAATGCAGGGCAGGAAGGCACCAACCTCTGAGATGACCTGCCCCCAAGCCGCCCTGTGCCCAGGCCAGCTTCCTCATTCAGACGTCTGTTTGTTTATAGAAGGACCTAGTAAGGCTCTCTGGTGGACCCCGGTCCACAATCACAGTGCGAGGAATGAGATGGGCTGAGTGGAGGAAGTGAAGCCCCGGGAACCCCCCAGTCTCTCATCTTGCCTTCCAAGCTCTGGGGATGGTTCTCCTGTGCTCGGGAGGGGGTGAGCTGGCCACAGGCCCCAGCTGCAGGTGGACCAGCCTCTCCAACCATCTGGGTCTCACTGTGGTGCTCTGGGTGCCCTCATGCGTGCCCCAGTTCCCCTCATTCTGTGGGGCAGCACCACCCAGAGGACCCCCCATTCCATCCTGCCCAAGCCCCTCTCCAGGTATGGGAACCTGCCCCACTGCTCAGGGCCCAGGGCTCGGCCAGTGCCTCTTAGGGACAGTGAGGCAGCCCTCCAAGGCCCCAGGGCACCAGGCCATCCTCAGAGGAACAGACCCGGAGGGACGGGGGCTCTGGATTGGAGTCCGAGTGGAGTCTGCTGTCCTGTCTGATGTAAGGAACATGCTTTAGAAGACATGTGCTCTGAGAGTCCCCGAGGCCACATGGGCAGCACCCAGGCTGCTGTTCCAAAGAGAAATCCCTGCAACTAAGGCAAGAGCTGAGGGCTGACCCTCCAAGTCTGCCTCTGGTGTGCTGAGGCTCCCTTCCCCAGCAACCCTGGACCCCAGGCTAGAGAGGAGCAATGAGGGAGGGGGCCGGAGCCGGGGGTCGGGGTGACGAGGGCGCCGCACCTCAGGCGTTCAGGAACTCACACCTTCTTAGTGCCTGAGGCCGTTACTCAGCACGACTCAGGAGTTATGAGTCTGCTCCGCTACTCTGCACAAGCAAATAGGCACCCTGGGCCCAGAAGGCCGAGAGCAGACGCTGGAGAGGGGCCCTCAAATATGCACAGCACTGGGGTCCCTCACCCGGTCAGCAGGAGGCCCCGGGGTCCCTCGCCCGGTCAGCGGGAGGCCCCGGGGCCCCTCACCCGGTCAGCGGGAGGCCCCGGGGTCCCTCACACGGTCAGCGGGAGGCTCCGGGGTCCCTCACACGGTCAGCGGGAGGCCCCAGGGTCCCTCACACGGTCAGCAGGAGGCCCTGGGGTCCCTCATATGGTCAGCAGGAGGCCCTGTGGTCCCTCACACAGTCAGCAGGAGGCCTCACTCTGCATGAGGGAAGCCAGGAATATTTCCTGTGGTGCTGGGCTGGGATCGCTCTAGGCCTTTTTATAAAATAGTGTTTATTGGAGCATAGTTGATTTAGAATGTGGTGTTAGTTTCTGGTGTACAGCAAGAGAATCAGTTACATGTATACCTATATGCCCTCTTCTTTAGATTTTATTCCCGTATGGGTCATTACGGAATATCGAAGTGTTCCCTGTGTTATGTAGCAGGTTCTTATTAGCTATCCACTTTATTATAGTGTGTATATGTTAATCCGCAGCTCCTAATTTATTCCTCCCCCACCTCACCCCCTGGTAAACACAAGTTTGTTTTCTATGTTTGTGATTCTAGTTCTGTTTTGTAAATAAGATCATGTGTACCATTTTTAAGATTCCACCTATAAGCGATATTCTATGATATCATAAGATGATATGATGATGATATCATATGATGCCTGTCTTTGTCTGTCTGCCCTACTTCACTTAGTATGATAATCTCTAGGTCCATCCACATTGCTGCATGGCATTACTGCATTCTTTTTTATAGCTGAGTAATATTCCATTGTATATAAAGCTGCCCCGGGGTTGGTGTGGAGGCAGGGCTGATCCCTGCTCTTGGCAGCAGCACTTCTGTTGTGCTGGGCTCCTTCTTGGGACAGCATCCATGGCTGAGAACAGAGAGGGTGGGACCAGGGCAGTCATGTTTCTCAAACTGCAGATGGTCTAGAAACCCCTTGTTCTGCTTGGAAGACATATAGGTCCCCAGGCTCGGGCTGCAGAAGCTCCAGGGCCTCTACTGTGGTTTGAATTGAAACCAAGCACCTCTAAACACACCGCCGTGCAGAGCTGGCTTTCGGATGTGGACAGACTCCCCCTCTGCTTCTCCAAACTCCAGATTCCCACACGAGGCCCCCTCTGCCCAGACCCACGTCCCTCTCCTTCCCACCTGCTCACTGCCTGAGTCCTGGCCGCATGTCCCATGTGGGAACCCCAGGACACCCCCCCACCAACACTCACCCAGGAGAAGCCGATGCAGCCGATGGCCCCACACAGCATGTCCGCGAGCATGGCCGGGTACGAGCTGGCCGTGGGGAAGTAGGCGAAGAAGTAGGGACTGTGCCAGTGGGTCACCTGTGTGGGACACGGGCAGTCACTTGGGGCCGGGGGGCAGCCCTGCAGGCAGGGGGCCAGGGCACTCAGGTGTGCCACAGAGAGTCAAGTCTGTTCATAGAAAAACCTTGTTCTAACTTCTGGCCAGAAGTGTCAGCAAGGGGGCTGCCCTGAGATCCCATCTCTTTGTGTCATGAGATTGCTTTTTCTAAAACTGCTCCAAAAAATAGTCTATATCTGAAAAGGGGAAAAAGAGAGATCTGATTTTTGAGGTTTCCTCAGCCGCCTACTGCAGCTTCCTCCCTCTCCTGTCCAATCCATTCCCAGTTTATGGAGCAGAAACTTCTGGGCTTGGCAGTCTCATGGAAACTGTGGGAGATGGTGCCTGGAGGTGGGGCCTTTGGGAAGTAAGGGGCTGGGTGAGCTGGAAAGGGTGGACCCTCCACGTGGAAGAAAGGCTGGGATCAGAACCTTCCAGGATCCGAATCTGCGGGAACCTTGACCTTGGATGCCCAACCTTTGCCCCATGAGAAGAGGATGCACCTGTCCAAGCTGCCAGCGGTGGGATCTGCCACTGCAGAGTGGCTGGGACAGCCCTGGGTCTGAAATTTAACTGCACTCCCGGGAGGGATTTCGTGCTGAGCGGCTTGTCACATTTGCACAACCTCTGGGCCGGTAAGAACCAGAATCCTGCTCTCTGCTCGAAGCGCAAATATCACAGGAACTCCTGGGAGGAGGAGAGCGGGGAGGTTCCCTGGGCTTAGGGGACCCATCAGGAACCCCATGGGTGGGGGCGCCTCGCCCCGAGCGTCAGGGTCTGAAATTCCAGAACCTGGGCTCCTGACCAGAGCTGAGGGGGTGAGGCTGAGGGTCTGAGACCCCTCACCACACCAGTGAACATGCCTTTAGGTGAGTCCAGGGAAAATCTCACCATGCAAGCATGAAGCTGTGGTGGAGCTGCCTTTGAATTTGAGCTGTCTGCTTCCCTCCAAGTGACTCTTGGGAGACGACTGTCCTGGGTGCTCCCCACGTCTGTCTGCAGCCCCGGGTGCACCCCACGGCCAGGCTCACAGACCTCAGACAAAGAGGCCCACTTTGGTGGTCCACGCTGCGCAGTCTCAGCAGCACACAGCCCACTCTCAGATAAAGTAAAGGAAACCTTTTTTCCACCACTGATCGCCCCTCTGCTGAAATTAACTTATTTGAAGCTAACCATCTGTTTCACATCCCAGGGTCTCAGGGCAGGGGACTGACCTTGTAACTGAACAGGACCCTATGGGGCTTTCCCGGTAACAGAACCCTCCCCCACAGCCTCTGAGGTGGCTCCTCTCTTCAGTACGCAGATAATAGTATCTGACGTGCACTTCCTGAGTTGTTTTACAGATGATAAAACCCCCACCACATGAAAGAAATTAACTACTTGATGACCATGAGCACATAGCTCCCAGCCTCTTGGCACCTGAGGATTGATCATGTGAACCCCTATGATCCCACCCCGTGACCTCACCATCAACCAATAAGAGGAGGAGCTGATCACTACGCTGAGACTTTAAAAATGCTTTCCAGAAGAAACCCACCGGGAGTTGGGGTGTTTCGAACGTTAGCTGCCCTGGACTCCTTGCGGGATACCTGAGATAAGTACCGCACTATCCTTCATCACAAGCTGGTATCAGCTGGCTGGCTTTACTGCACAGGGGCCAGTGGACCCAGGCTGGCTCAGTAACAACCTAGGGGCCAGAGGGAAATCATCGTCACCCCCTTTGGAGCCCACACGATCTGGATTGCAGTCCTGATTCCATCACTTACTAGCTGTGTGACCTTAGGCAGATCACTCAGCCTCTCTGGGCTTCAGTGGTCTCAGCTATAAAAGAGAAATAACAAAGTTTCTCCCCAAGAAAATGACTGTGAGGATTAGGTGCAATAATGCAAGTGAATTGCCTGACACCCAAGAGGTACTAAACGAACGCCTGCCCTCCCCTGCATCAACCATGGATATAGGCTTACCCCTGGCATGATGATCTTCTCGACATCCTTAATGATGTCCTCAAATGTCTCTGGCTCCTGCGGGGCGGTGGTGGGGATCAGGCGGCGCAGGTAGCCTGGATCCACATCTGGGAACACCTGGCGCCCCTCGATGCCTTCCAGGTAGTCAGCCACGTAATCCACCATTTCCTTCCCCCTCCTGCGAAACTCACTTGCATTCATGGTGACTGCCCTCCTCAGACACAAAAGCTGCACAGAGAGAAAAGAAGTCAGTTGCAGATGTGACGATGCCTCACCTGTAGTGGAGCGGTCCAAGCCGACCACTGGGGTGGCCTGGGCGGGGAACCAAACACCCCAGAAGTCCACCCAGACTCCAAGTCAGGAACACTTTACCATGTCCAGATGGGGTAGAAGTAACCCTGGATTTGGAGACTGTAGCAAAGTACTTATTCTACTATTCACCAGCTACTCAGCTAAAGACAATGCCGTGTCTCTGCCTCGTTTCTTTTTCTGTCTGTATCATGAAATGGACCAGGCACACATTTATTTCCAGGGTCCATCCCAACTTTAATAACAAGCCTTGGTTTCTAAATCGTGCCTTATTCTTCATGGGCTGTGGGACAGAGACTCTCTGGGTCTCTCTTTATCTGAGAAAAGCAGATGACCATGCTGATCTTTCCGGAAGGTAGAAAGGCAGTCACGTGGCCTGTGTCCAGCATGAGCAGAGCCTGGATAGGATAACCCCATCAGCACGTCTTGTTTCTATATCTTGACTCCATCACCAGAGGGACCCACACCTTTGCATACAACCCCCTTCTTTCCTCATCACATAATAACATCCAAGTGACCCTGGTCCTCTGTGGTGGTAATATTCCATAAAGAATCCATGAGCTCCGAATTAGCTCATGGGACCTTTCCCAGGGGAAATGCAAGGCTATGTTTCTGGTCACATTGTTGCCAATCAATCAATGCATAATCTTTTTTCTGTGTCCTTTTCTGTGATAGTTGCTCAGTTGTGTCCGACTCTTTGAGACCCCAAGGACTATAGCCCGCCAGGCTACACTGTCCATGGAATTCTACTGCAAGAGTGGGGAGCCATTCCCTTCTCCAGGGGATCTTCCCAACCCAGGGAAGGTCTTCCACATTGCAGGCAGATTCTTTACCATCTGAGCCTCCAGGGAAGCCCCAAGAAAGCTGGAATTAGCTTTGATTTGTAACCAGGCCTATTGAATCCTACCACTGTTGTCCAGAGATAATAACATTTGCCATTTGAAATCAGGCACATATGCATGCTAAGTCACTTCAGTTGTGTTGGACTCTTTGCTACCCTATGGACTGTAGCCCACCAGGCTCCTCTGTCCATGGGATTCTCCTGGCAAGAATATTGGAGTGGATTGCCAATTTCCTCTCCAGAGGATCTTCCCCACCCAGGAATCAAACCCATGTCTTTATATCACCTGCATTGGCAGGCAGGTTCTTTACCACTAGCACCACCTGGAAAGCCCCATTACCTTCTAAATACACTTTATTTAATACACCTTGGCCCCATGAACTTTGAACTTCTGGCCAACGACTCTCTCACTCATGAATGTCACTTGCCTAATACACGTATTTTCTCCCTAAGGCACATCACAGCCTTCTTGCATGTAGGGCCCCTGGAATGCACGCCAGCACTATATTTGGGGGCCATTTTTTAATAGTCAGGTAACCGAGAATAACATGAAGATGCAGCAGTAAATAGGCCACTTGCTGAAGCAACTAGGCAGAGTGTTGCCTTATCAGATTCTGCTGGCAACAAGCACCCTGGGCAACTTAAATTTTCTATCCTGCTATGTATGTGTGCCCAAGAATGATCATGAAGGCACCATTGTGGTGATTAATAATACAGATGAATTGTTGAAAAGAGTTGCACCTGCATATAGAAAAATCTATGAATAGTAAGCATGGACTACATTTTCCAAACTGGAAATGTGGGCCACACAAAGAAAGAAAAATATTCACCTAGAATCCTGTCACTCAAAAATTCTGGCACACCCCCTTCCACATTGTTTCTTATAAGAGACAATTGTATGCTAAGTCATGGATGCATTTTTTAATTCTAATAGTTCAACAATTCATAAATCAAGATTAGTTTTCCTGTGGGAGTAAGTGTTGGGAGATGGTTCTACAAGCCACTGTATCTAGCTGATGATCTTGAGATCATGTTCTCAGCACTTCCATTGTTTCCCATCATCTGTGCTGCTTTTCATTTTTTTTAAAACAATTTTAATGTTAAACATATCAAGACAGGTTTTATTCAAGACTATTGCAATAGGAGAGGGAGACTGTCTCCCAAATGCAACAGGGGTCAGTGGGGATTTCCAAAGACAGGTAGAGTTAGGAAGCAGATGGTACTTTACTAAGAATAGTTTGGCTGGGTGTCCAGGTGGAGGAAGAAGAGCTGAAATGTATCTCAAGGGTAGAAGCTTGCTTGATAAACCAACTTAGCATGATCTTCTGCTACAGCTGGGGTCGGCTCCCTGAGGCGCAAACCTGCACTCAGGAGCGGGCTCGGAGAGGCCTGACTGGGTCTGGCTGAGCAGAGTGTCTCTGTAAAGGGGAGTCAGATTGATGACGCCTCCCCTCTCCTGGCCTTCTCTGCAGGGTTCTCTTTCAGATTTTCTCCTTGAGTAGTATAGAAGGCACCCATGGAAGATTCCAGGCTCATCAAGGTTAGTGACTGGGTCAAACCTACACATCCAAATGACTGTCTGGGGATACATTTTTCAGAGAGTGAACACGTGAGTGACAGTGACTGGATATGATATAGGATTCGATTCTAAGTTACAGCAACAGCAAAGGCTAAAATAATAGCATGAGAAACACCAAACTGACTCTTTGAGTTTCCATTGCACCTTTGTGTTTCATAAGCTGCAGGTCAAGGGAGCTTATCCAAAATACCGTGGCCAGAATTTCCAAAGGCTGTTAGTGCAAAGCCATGAAGCCTTCTGTATATGTACACTTTCAGGTTCATAATTCCTTGGGCCTGAAGGCTTCTAAATTTATTTTTCACTTGGAACAACTCTGATTATGTCCGATGTCACACATAGAGTAAAACTAGGTTATACTTCAAATTGACGTTATTTTAAATTGACTAGATTCAAATTCAACCAAAATTTCATCAAACAGCTGATCTTTTCGCTAGCTTGTTTTCTTTCACGAAGTAATTATGAGTACATTTCCCAGGTTGGTAAAGACTTTTCTGTTGCTTGATTTCTCCCAATTGCATAGTGTTCCACAGGGTGAATGTGCTGTGTTCACAACGTATGTCACTATCGTTGAATATCTACCTCATCTCTGGTTATCACCTCCATTAGTGGGGACAGTTGGTGTAACCTAATGGCCAATCCTGCATGATCAAGAACAAAAGAGTCTGCACAGCATGACATAGAGGCAACTGAGGTTTCCTCGTGTTCCTCAACTGAGAGCGAACACCACAGTAAAGCTCTATCTCAAATAATGTTTATGACAATTAGACAAGTACATGGGAACAGCTGAGGAAAAGAGGCACCAAATAAGCGTTCAACAGTACATGTTGTTAGATTTTCTATAAAAAGCCCTGGGATACACAGCCTCAATCTTTGTTTTTTCAGTTTGTTTTGAGTCAGAATGTCCTTAAGAAAAGCACTTATTCTATAATTTCTTTAGCACGAACTATTATAGAGATACATATTTTGTGTGCGTGCTCAGCCACTCTGTCATGTCCGACTCTCTGCCCCGTGGACTGTAGCCCGCCAGGTTCCTCTGTCCATGGGACTGCCCAGACAAGAATTTTGGAGTGAGTTGCCATTTCCTCCTCCAGGAGATCTTCCCGACCCAGGGGTTGAACCCAAGACTCTGCTATGTCTCCTGTGTCCACTGGCAAGTGGATTCTTTACAGCTGGGCCATCTAGTTAACGTTATATGGCCAGACTTGCCCCCAGAAAATATTTTTGCCAAATTACTCACTCACAGGGACTGTATAAAAACTCTAGATTTGCCACACAATATCAAACACTGGGCTTTAGATACATTTCAAGCTTCACCAGTCAGGCAAAGTTTCATGATTTCATTTTACTTTGATTTATGAAGACAAATAGTTTTCTCACACGACTTTGCATAGTGGTGTGAGATTTCTTTTCTTGGGTTTCCTTTTTAATGAACTGCTTGTTCATTACATTTTTTTCTACTTGGATATTAGATGTTTTCTTATTTAATTGCAAGAGCACTAATATAATAAATACTTGCACCCTATAATAAATACTTGTACCCTATGTGTGATGTATTTTGCAGACATTTTCCTCATTTTTATTTGATCTAGTTTTGATTTTAATTTTATCTTGACTTATAAGAATTCTAATGTAGTCAGATCTCAGGATCTGTTTCTTTGTGATTTGTTCCTTGTGCAAGACTATTAAAAAAAGCTTCTTAGAGTAAATATTCGCACAACCTCTATTTGCCCTCCAGGCTCCAGGGATCCTCTGAGGCTTCAGAAGGATACGTAGGTTCCTGGAGTATCAGTCACTCTCTTCTAATGGGAATACAAGAGTATGGATGGCCAAACGGGAGGTCTTGGGAAAAAAATAAACTGACAGACACACCAACTTGCCCTTCCAAAGAAATATTCCCAGTCAAATTGTAAGATAAGATCTGATTATTATTTTCTAATCATTCTTTCCTTTATTTGCCAATTCTTTCCCACAAAGACTTTTCCAGAAGACTTTTAATACAAACTCACAGAAAATCTTGTGTTCATTTTGGAGCTGTTTGCTATCTCATGCCCTCAAGCTGGGCAAATATTGGCTGGAAGATGTAGATGATGATAAAGGTTATGACTGAGGCCTTTCCGGGCCTTGAAATAGTGGCTGTTGACATAATCTGATCGCAGCTGCAGGCCTGTGGTGCGCCCCACCTGCTCAAGGCCGCACAAGCCCCTCTGCAGGCCCTCAGGCCTCCTGACTGACCTGAAGGCCATTTGTTTTTGTATTGCATCATTTCACCGACACCCCTTGCTAACTGCGGGCTTCTCTAAGCAGAGTCCTCAACTCTTTATTTTGGTTTCTCAGGACCAATCAGACCCTGCACCACAGTAAGTACCATGACTGTTTTCTGAATGAGGAACGAAAAAATGAATGAATGGAAAATCTTTTTGTCCTCTGAACATGTTGTCTCTGACACATTAGATCCTACTCTCTACCTTTAAG